TCTACTCTGGATTACTTGGAGTCAATAAAGATCCTAGAAAGTTAGTATTTATATGCCTGTGTGTTTTTTTGTTTGTTTTTTCACTGTCTTTGACTTTCCCAGTATGTTTGTTGCTGTTGACAACAATTCAGTCCTCTGCCAGGCTTCAGTCAATGTTTTTCTTAACTACCTACCCAACTCCTCGTCGGGCACTATGTAGCTGGTGTGGTATATTTATCACAGACAGTAGGGCAATTGTCACATTTAGTGCTCCAAGAAAATATTTTCTGTCCATGTGTATTTATATAAATAGATGCAGTTTCTTTGGCTTGAATAACATTCACTGGCTTCGTACATACAGGTATAATGGTTTACCTGTTTCTAGTTGAAATATAGCCAATCTTAATAACCAAGACAGTTGGACATTTGCCACATGTCACAACACTCATTTCCAAGTGCCATAGCTTGAAACAAGTAGTCAAATCTGATATTGGCTGGAGCTTTAGTTTATATGGACATGGTAAATGGCAAACTAGATGGTCAGAAAGTAATAAAAATAATCTCAGCTTTACTCCACCCACCCCACTATGAAGTAAAAGGCTGTTTATAAGGCCATGTATGATGGTTTCATTTTTCTTATGGAAAACAATTTTAATTATAAACTTCTATGCTCCTGTACCCAACCGTGGGGGTTCATCACAGGTGTCACTGTTACTAAGATAAATGTACTTTTTTTCATTAAAATTACTGATATATATATATATGTATATATATATACATTTCAATTCTGTGTAACTGAACTTCTACTTGTGCGTGATGGATAAACAAAAGTAGTATTTATTTTTCTATATTTCTTCATGTTTGTTGTATTCATTTGTTGTAATGATTGTATCATTATTTTATTTGTTGTCAGACATATCTCAAACCACATTCCTACTGCTGAGCTGCAGACCAGCATTGTATGTTTGGGGGAATTGATAAATAAATGGCAGCCAGCGTCAACTTGTTAGTGTGTATCTTTTCAATTGAGATAATACGCTTCAGATATTAATTACAACCCAATCTATAACGAATTTCAATTCCTGACGATAATCTTTGTCTGTTTACAATGCTATGTGATTAACCCTAATGTAATCAATTAGGGATGATGGGGCATACATTTTAAAGTAAGTACTTTTAGAACACAGAGACATTGGTGCGTGATTGGAAAGCACATATATTTAGATACTTAGCAACAACCAATTGCACAAGTACAGTCACTGGTTTTAGTTGTAGCATATCAGTATTTTTCGAACAGTTGCATGGTGATTGTGGTTGGAATGTGCTGAGGCAAGTTCTGTTGGCGATGAAAACAAATATGATTTCATTGAGCTTAGGCCCCTATTTTAAATTGGTAGAGCTTGAATAAAAAGTGGTTAATTGCACTGAATTAGCATTCTCTATACACTGATTTGACCGCTATTTCTAGACAACCAATCCGGTATATTTCCGTCCCGGCATTGCCTCAGTTGTGGTGATAAAGATTTCACCAATTGATCCCCACCCCTTGAGAGCGGATGAACTGAAAGGGAGAAGACTTATATGATAAGCAGTCAATCAGAGACGTCTATTATTGAACCTACATTGAAGATACGCTCATAGCTCCTGAATTCGGAGTTGCCCCACAAGGCCCTTTCCCGAATTATATGTCAGATACTAATACATGCACAAATGTACTTTTGGTGATATTTTGGTAATGTATAAGAAAATATGCACTAAGCTTGTGTTTTTCAATGTTCATGTGATTTATTTATTAATCTCATATTTAACATTATTACTATGATATTATCTTTGATTATTTTACTGGTGATGACTTCCAACAGGAGATAGACTGGTCCATTCGTTGTTTATTTTATTTTTTCCTGCCCCAGGAAACCCCTAGAAAACACAAGTTGATAAAACTGTTATGTATTCATGAAGACAATCACATAAGTACATGTTGTACACATCAAGAGAATTATTGAGTGAATTCATTCCAATTTGTTTGTATTTCATCCTCGTAACATGAATCGTTCATGTACCAAACAATATCATTTGTGAATTTACATTTAGTGAATCTTTCGACTAATCATATTTGTTCTGCATGGCCAAGTATCCATTATGTCTTTACGCCGATTAGTTTGATTATTCTGCAGCCAACATGTGTCCTCTACTGTTTATATTAAGTAATACAAAATATAATAATTATGCAATGTATCCAGCGTCTCAATATTGTACGAGTTGATGAGAATTGTGTAGGCAATATTGGTCTGGTTATAAATAGGTGAAAGACAATGCTTAGTGACATACTATGCACACTAGGCACAAAAACCACCATAATAACACCTGATTAAGCAGGAAAAAACAATGAGTACAACAACTTTAACTAACAGGCAATGCAAAAGCAACAACCACCCACAAAATATTTGTAACTATGACACATGGATTCTTTGCCAAGCCCCTGAAAAATCAAGTTTACACAAGTGAACACATTTATAAAAAAATAATAGATCCGTTTAGTATGCCACCAATTCCGCATAACAAAATATATCTTCCATAAGCATTATTATGTTAAATAAGCTAGCATTTTGTTTTTAAATTAATGACGTACAAATCACACGATTTCGAATCGGCCAATCAAACACGTCCAGTGAACAGACCAATAATTAAAGAATAAACCAAAGTCAACTTCAACATTATTGCTGAAAGGAGATTTATAATCAAGAGTTATTTGAAGGTTAGTTAGTATGTGTTAAAATAAGTGTGTTAAAATATATATCATATGCCTTTTATGCCAACATAAAACACTGTATCATTGATTCTTTTTCCCAACAAATGGTCGGCAAACTACTTACTCAGGTCATAAGAATCTTCCTGTGTCACGTCATCCTAAGAGAGAAACACAGATGCATTACACAATAGGATGAATATTAATTTTGCGCTTTACTACGTAAATATATTCCGAAGTGTGGAAAATACACACAAAGTAAATTATGAAGTAGTAAGTCAATATAATATTATTACTATTATTTCCTATCATTGTGATTATTGACTTACCGGCAAATTAGGTGCTCGGAAATCATTTACATCTGAAAGTGAAAGTGATTGTAGATCAGGATAAGTGAAATGTTTAATTACATTAGAAACAAGAATTGATAAATTTATAAATTGAATGTATCAAACCTTGTCCGACAGCTTCACCTTCGAAATCCTGTTGAAAATAATAAATTGGTTTGTAATAATTATATTTATAATCATTCATAGATACAAATATATATATAGATATATATATATATATATATATTGCCACAAGAAAACAATACTGTATTATCAAGCCTTTGAAGTAAACGATCAGCAATTGCAGTGTTCGTATTCGAACGGAAACCCGTTACATGAATTGAATGAAGAAATGTTGATTTAGACCATAAAATAGTGCAATAAATGTTAGTTCAAAATTTCTAACTTGACATTTTGTTGCCTCGCATAATGCAATGGAAATTATAGGCAACGTAAGTCTACTTACTGACAATTGCTGTTCTTCACCACTAATATTGGTGACCAGTAAGAATAATAAGGCAAAAATCATTACAGATCGCATGCTTGCTGTAAAGGCTGCAATTATAAATGATAGAACAATTAGTAAACAATAGTTCTATGTGTCTTCAAACGTGGACACGTCATTCAACAACGATCGTGTAATGTGCAATAAAAGTATACATCCACTTCTATTCGTATCAATGGTTTGTAGTAAATAATGCATACAGTTAATTATTCGATGGTTTTAGGCAGACTGGTGTGGTTGACTGGGTCTATGAACTTTTTTTATTTGTTCATTTAGTATTTTTGTATATTGTCATGACAACACATACTAGTGGCATTCTTAACCAGGAAGCTTACACTGTATAATTGAGTTGTTGTATAATCGGGTGAAAATGTGTACAAGTCCTGGGTGAATTCCAATCAATTTCCTAACACGTTCAACAAATATATCGGAACATAACATCGTGAAATATCAGTAAGAGTTGAACAATAGGAGAGGTCAGACACAGGCATGGCGAGGTACCAACTTTTTCGACTACTATCCTCTTCGCTTTTTTTATTTGATTATTCACGCATTTCGTTTGTCTACGTCCATTCATATTACAGTCTTGATTTGCTGAATTAAAAAGGGATCATGCGTAATGACGCATGCGCGGTTGCACAATGTATGTACATAGTGACATATTAAGAACTCCTCGAAGTAGGTGGTGAATTGGCCTCAATTAAAAACAATATGGGAATGTTAAACTGATTTCAATATGGACGTTTTTAAAATGATAATTGTAACACTAAGAATAAAAAATTGAATAATTAAACTGAATCAAATTATATATGAAAATTATACATTTTTAACCCGAAATATATGAAACCGTATTGATTTGTAAAAAAAAAGAAATATTCGACAATAAGTGATTTAAAATATTCAAATATATGTAATCGTTGAAAGTTCTTGTAATTGAAGGACTATAATTCACTGATCCAGGGAATGTGATGTGAACGTAAATTGCGCTTTCTACAAATGCCTCGTTACAGTATGGACAGGCTTAAAACATTCAATCAAAAATTCGATGACATGTTTTACATAATTCTACGAGCCTTTGCACAGACCGTCCTTGCTACCGAGTACATTTCTTCGATTATTAGCAGGCTCAGAGTCATTTACAATATACGTGTCTAGAGGCCCCGAATTGCCACTGTATTCATAAGCGCCTTCTGTAAACTAACATTAAGTGGGTAATAATCAAAAGACTGACGATTTTAAAAAACATCCATAACTTTTATCATTATTTGTAAATTCCGAAATATTCAAGCGTCTACCACTTTTAAATATTATTCGTGTTTGTGCCGAGCCGTGGAATACGCGCGGAACGAGCTGCGAAAGCATTTGTGACTCTAAGTATTTTTTATTAAGTTCAATGGATTGATCGTCAAAATAAAACATTTTGTAAAATGTTATACTTGTAAATACGGTGGAATATCCGTAGTACGATGGGTAAGTAATGGCAACGAAACAACTGTTTTTTTTTAGATAAAGCACTTGCAAGAAAGGCAAAAACAAAAACATTCCTTGAAGAAATTGTCATTATTGGAAACCTCCCATAAAAGTAACCCAGTGAAAATTAATTGAAATTAAAAGTGGCGAGCTGAATACAGAGCACAATTATATTACAGAGGGGAATATTATTAGGTCGAGGACGGATATAAAAGCCCTGGAAAAAACAACCTTAATATATATTTTGTTATTACTTTGAGGCTACTTGTGCGTGGTTATGTTGTTCAAACATAAGATTATTTCTTCGATTGCAAATACATACAAACCTGGAGACCCGTCTCCCTGGTAAATGAGTACTATAATATTGCAACATTATATATTGCTTTGCGCATGGAAAAAGTTCTCTGGGACTCATTTGTGAGATTCAACCGGCGGTCGTCAAAGATATATTGGTGATTGCGCTTGACTTGTAGATGGCATAGTTAGCGTTACAAAAGACAGTACCGTTCTTACTAGAATATTCGATTCAGTAGAATGGGATTAAACCTTTGGGGACTTAACGAAACACAATTTCGTGAATTCATTCGTTGGATCGGAGTTAACTTTTTATTGTAACATTTCCAGCTGCATTATGGACAACTGTTAATTCCATGCAGTATTTTGAAATTACACGGAGTGTCAGACAGGAGAACCCTCCTTCATGGGATTCAGTTTATGAGTGAGTTGGAACCTATTTTAATTTCAATTCAACAAAATGAGGTTAACCAGTGTATTGGAAAGAAATTACATCACAAATTGTCCATATGCGGACGATCGAACATTTGTCCAGGATTTGGGATCAGTGAGAAAATAATTGATTTTACTAGATCTAAATTTTCGGGCCGTCAGGTTAATAAGGCGGTTTATTTTTCTTATAAACACCTATTTAGCTGCATGTATAAACTGTGAAAATATGTATTGTCGATAAAACAACTCTTGAACTATTGGAGTTACTCTAAACTGACGTTAATTGGCAAACTAAATATTATCACGTCATTGGTAATGTCCGAATTCACATATACTTTCAATTTCATAGCTGTATCTAATTCCACTCTACTGATAATCTCTTTTTAACTTCCCGGTGAATGGTTCTCATATGATTTCACGAAAGACAGCAGTGAGCAATATACTAAGTATTTATACAGGGCGAAAGGCAAATTGGGTGATGAGATATTTCGACAATAATAAGACCCATGGAACACCCATGGAACATATTTTTAACAGCTATCTTGAGTCAGTTGGTGGGATACGCTTTTATTCTGTTGTTAATTATATAATTGACACTCATTTTTCGCCGAACACGTGTCGAAGGCTTGGTCAGAAATTATAGTTAATGAATTAATGACAGTGGAATTATTTAAAATAAGCGATATATTAACATTCAAAGCAGATATGTATTTTTCAAACAATTTTATGATATTGATATTACTGATGTATGTGATTTAAGGATACAATTATAAATGAGTATGCATTTGTTCAGTGTGTGTTTAAATGTGGACCAACAATGTGTAATGTGCAATGAAATAATACATTACCTTATTCAATTGGATACGACATGTGAAGACACTGCGATCCGTGTCAAAGAATGGTAGTAAATATTTTATACAATTAAATATTCGATGGTTTTAGGCAGAGTGGTGTGATTGACAGTGTGTATGAGGTCTTTTATTTTTATATTTAGTAATTTTGTATATTGTCATGACAACACCTACCAATGGAATGTTTAACAAGTGAGCTTAGAATGTAAACTTGATGAGTGATTGCATAAACAGGTACAAATGTTGACTAGTCCTAGGTGAATTCAAATCAATTTCTCAACACTTTCAACAAATATATCGGAACAAAACATCATGAAATATTAGTCAGAGTTAAACTTTGGGAGAGGGCAGACTCAGGCATGGAGAGGTACCAACTTTTTCGACTACTATCCTCTTCGCTTATTTTATTTCCTTATTCACACATTTCGTGTGTCTATGTCCATTCATATTACAGTCTTAATTTGAGTAATATACTAAGTAATTATACAGTACGAAAGGCAAATTAGGTGATGAGATATTTCGACAAAAAATAACACCCATGGGACACATTTTTAACAGCTATCTTGCGTCAGTTGGTGGGGTACGCTTTTATTCTGTTGTTAATTATGTAATTGAAAATCATTTTCCCCCGAACACGTGTCAAAGGCTTGGTCAGAAATTATAAGTAACGAATTAATGACAGTGGAATTATTTAAAATAAGCGATATATTAACATTCAAGGCAGATATGTATTTTTCAAAGAAATTTATCATATTGGTATTACTGATGTTTATGATGTAAATAATAAAATTATAAATTAGTATGCATTAGTTCAGTGTGTGTTTAAATGTGGACCAACAACGTGTAATGTGCAATGAAATACTTCATTACCTTATTCAATTGGATACAAGATGTGAAAACACTGCGATCCGTGTCAAAGAATGGTCGTAAATAATGTATACAGTTAAATATTCGATGGTTTCCGGCAGAGTGGTGTGACTGACAGGTTGTATAAGCTGCTTTATTTTTTTATTTAGTAATTTGTATATTGTAATGACAACACATACCAGTGGAATGGTCGATCACCTAAACCACACAGCTAAACGAGTTATTTTGTACTTTGTCGAGATGGCGCCTATTTCATGTTTTGGAATGTTTTAACATTGGTATCGCTGGCACAATCACCATGGAAGCACTAACAACGCCTCATTGTGATTTTCTTCAAACAATGGTCGATCACCCAACCACATAGCTGCATGATTTATTCGACATTTAGTCGATATGGCGGCTTTTTTAAATTTTGGAATATTTGAACATTGGTATCGCTTGCACAAGTACCTTCTAGAATTACGCGGTGACCTCAACATGTTTCGAGTAACACTACGCTAGTTTAATGTCAATTTACAAAGTATTTATTCACATTTCAGAACGTTTAATCATGAGACAAGTTAATATGATATCACAGGAAACAATCGCAAATGAATCTAGCAACTTTGCAATCGCTTTTTACAACTTTGTAAGCAGTTTGTCGTCGATTTTACGGTTTGGGTTGTCATGACAATGACTTAGGTTAAATATACAAGCAACTCCGCCGACATTCAATCACTTTTTACAACTTTGCACATCGTTTAATAACATTTTTCCGCCAGCTCATGTGAACAACCGCTAATATAGGCGGATTTCTACTGGCTTTTATTAAATTTATCAACTTCAAAACTGCGCGATTTTATATGCCAACAAGCTCATATATACAAATACATCGACAAATCTTGCAGTCACTTTGCACAAGTTTGCATGGTGCGTTAAAAGCTTAAATCTCAGTACGTGCCGACGGCATCAACAATTTGTTTCTTTGAAGCTTATTATGAATTTGAAAACATTCCATTAATTTAGGAAATTATAACAATTCTACGATTATCTACGATAAGCGATTGACATAACAGTAACAACGAATGCGGAAACTTTTTTTTATATTTTGCCATGTGTCTGTTGAAGCAAAAAGAAAACAAATCCAACACCTTGTTGAGTCAGGGAGTCTCCCATGCAAGTACTAACCACGCTTGATTATGCTTTGCTTTAAACAATGGTCGATTACCTAGCCACACAGTCGAATTGGCGGATATTTCATGTTTTGAAATGTTTTAGCATTGGTATCGCTTGCACAAGCACATTCTAAAATTGACCTATGACCTCTACATGTTCCGAGTAACACTCCGCTAATTTAACGTAAATTTACGAAATATTTATTCACATTTTCGAACATTTAACCCAGGGACATGTTAATAATATATCACAGGTAACAGTCGCAAATGAATCTACCAACCTTACCATTCCTTTTCACAACTTTGTAAGCAGTTTGTCGTCGATTTGTCGGTTCGATGTTGTGATAATCTACTAATATCTGAGGCATTTTCGAGACGGTTATTTATTGTTTTGGACATTTAACTGCGTAGTTGTCATGACATTGACTTAGGTTAAATATACAAACAAATCCGCCGACATTTCAATCGCTTTTTCCAGCTTTGCACGTTGTTTTCTAAAATGTTGCGGTCAGTTCATTTGAACATCCTCTAACTGGCTTTTATTAAATTTATCGGCTTGAAAACTGCACGGTTCTATATGCCAAGAACTTAGCTCTTATATACAAATACATCTACCATTCTTGCAATCCCTTTGCACAACTTTGCAGTCACTTTGCACAACTTTTCAAAGTGCGTTAACAGCTTCAATCTCAGTACGTACCGACGGCATCAACAATTTGTTCTTTGAAGATTATTAGGAATTCGAAAGATTTCCATTAATTTAAAAAATACAAACATTTTACGATTATCTAAGATAAGTGATAGACGTAACAGTAACAGCGAATGCAGGATCGTTATAGAACGACGCAGTTTAAAAGTCGATGATTGTAATGGAAACCAGTTGAAAGCAGCCTGTATTAGCAGATGTTCACATGAGCTGACCGTAAAATATTAGAAAACAGTGTGCAAAGTTGGAAAAAGCAATTGAAATGTTGTCAGAGTTAATTGTGTATTTAAGCTGTGTCATAATCATGACATCCCCGCAGTTTGATGTCGAAAACATTGAGTGAACGTCTAGAAAATGCCTCATATATAAGTAGATTATCACAACAGCAAACCGAACAATCGACGAGTAGCAACGAATCCAGACAAAGTGAGGGCCATAAAGTGAGGTCAATGCTAAAGAGCGTGAGGGATGTATGAAGTTTCTTGGGAATTCAACTATCATCATCATGTAGAAGGATTTGCCAAGATAGCAGCACCTTTGCATAGAGTAACAGAGAGTTTGACAAAGGAAACAAAGTATGATATTGCTTTTCAAGAATCAAAGAAGTGTCTGATGTCCACTCTGATACTAGCGTATCCACAAGAAAATGAGGAATATGTGTTGAATATGAATGAAAGTGAAAATGGTATTTGTGCTGTCATATCACAGGTCCAGGATGGAAAGGAAAGGGTGATAGCACATGGCAACATGTTGCTTAGTAAAGTGGAATGGAACTATCGCATCACAACGAAAATAAGTACTGGCATTGGTGAATTTTGTTAGATGCTACAGGCAGTAACTGTACAGTAGGCAATTCACCATCATGACTGATCATACAGCTCTAAGCTGGTTGTTGAGTTTTAAGTGTGCAGAAGGTCAACTCGACAGGTAAGTTGAAATCTTAGTAGAATAAAAATATAAAGTAATACACAGGACATGGGAAATCTACGGGAATGATGGAAGGGGAAACATGGCGCTGTGACTTTCAGGGCCGAGAGTGTGCAGAGAATTGCATGATATTCCCACTTGGATGAGGGACACAAAAATGTGAATATATAATCAGGAATGGAAACAATGGATAGTAGATACCGAGAAGATGGACACGAAAATGGTGACCCAGTCACGAGCTGTCAGCATTCACCCAGACATAGGCGGCGATCAGATAAAAGAAGTCTATATTTCTGATGCGAAAATAGGTCCAGTAAAGACGGCAAAGGAATGCTGAATCAGATCGAAATTGGAAAAGATGTCACGGTTGACATACACCGTGAAAGCTTACTGGAGAAATTTGAAGCAACTCAGAATAGAGGAAGGCATTTTATATAAGTATGGAGAGTAAAAACCTGGAAAACCGGGTTGTTACCGAAAACCAGAAAAATTACATAATTGGGGACTGACATGCAGTAATAAGAAACAGCGTACTGTTTGTGCAAAACATAGTGTTTTATCTTGGAGGCGTTGATCACCACTGTAGCAGTATAAGGTAGGAGCTCCACTGAAAAGGATTGTCCTTGATATAATGGGACCATTGGCACTGACTCCTAGGAGGAATGAAGTTATCCTAGTGGTTGGTCATTATTTTACTTAATGGACGTTCGGGCTTCAAAATAGAGAAGCAACCAAGTTACCGTGACACATACATTGGTAACACACTTTATTTTCACGTGATGGTGTTCCCATATAAATACACTCTGATCAAGCACGAAATTGTTAATCTAGGTTATTTGAAGAAATGTATTATCTATGTGTTAGCATAGTGATTAGCTGAGAAAATGACTCACAAAATATGATGGTTATATTGAGAGTTATAACAAAAAGTTGATAGATTTAATTGGAAAATATATTAAGGTAGGTCAGTCTGATTGGGATTATTATATTTCGACAGTATCCTATAGGAATGGAATACAGGAATCTACCTCATTTACACAAAACTTGCTGATGCTGGGAAAGGCGATTACACTTCCTAATGGCATGGCGAAACGGATGTACCTGGGGGAGAAGAGATAATAACAGATTATGTGGAAAAAAGCTGAACAATATTTTGCAATGGATACATGTTAAATTGCAAGATAGTGCAACACGCCTGAAACGACAGTATGGCTAAAGACTTGTTGGGAAGCAGTTGCAAATATGCGATTTTGTATTTTTTTCTGCAAAGAACCGAACACGGTGATCTCCTAAGTTGCAACAGAGATAACATGGCCCCTTCATAATAGTCGAAAACCGTCAAATGTTGTTTAAAAATACATTTTGATAACATAAAAAATTAAACAATTTGTGAACCCAAAATAGCGAGAAATGTTTGAAATGTGATCCTGTCTTCAGGTCGGAAAGGCGAGTGAAAGACCGCGTGACGCAGCACCATGAAATAATAACAACCGTGAAGGTGATACAGACATTACTGAACAAGACTACATATAGTAAACGAAACGTGAGGAAAGCAGCTGAATCATCGATATGGGTGGGAACGGCTGATACCAAGAAACTGCACAATTATACTATTTCCCGAACGTGATGAAACAAGCATATGAGAACGCATGTGAAGGAAGAGAAATAAAACTAGAACCTGACAAGCACAGCCAGACGCG